TAATGTGTCCAGGCTTAGTTAATAAAAGACTTCGATACTACAATCTCTAGTTCCTACACTTCATAACCAGCTTTATGAGTTTGCCGCGAGAATTCGGGAAAAGTTACCCAAAATAGAACACTGGCTCAGAAAACCAACTATAAAGCAAGTATGCTGTTTATCACGACGTTTTTAAAAAATAACAATAACAATATTAAAAATACATTTTGCATGTTCTAAAAGCTCGAATTACATGTAAGAGGTTTTTTTTAAAAATGCTAAGAAAAAGCAATGCGTTGCTTTTAGATGTAATGTACATTTTATAATGTATGGGTAAGGACATGGAAAATAGTTTTGACCAGGTTGTTTAGATGCATACGAACTGGTAGAGTTTCCATAGCGGCAGGGGAGGTTCAATGCTTGTAGTTATTAGCCAGGCATATTTTCTTTCAGCGTCTCTCAAGAGTACAAAATGGTTTTTGGCGAACTGTTGTCAGAGGCAACCTGATGCTTTGATTCAAATTTCTCATTTGTTTTTCTTCTTTTGACCTCAAAACACTATGACGTATGCATTAAAGCCACTGAGACGTCGTCATTTTCTGAGTCGGAAGATCATGTATTTGGGATTAATTTTCAAGGTACCTTGTCATTGCAAGTTGAAAAGCGTTGCTGTGTGCCGCATTACCACGCTATTTTGCTAGTTGTCGACAGATTTTGCATAAAGCTTAAAGACTCATTACTTCGTCGCTCAAAATGTTGCTGCAACTGACCGAATGATGGTGATACGGCCAGCCGCACTTTCAAGCTTTGAATCTTTGTGGGTCCGGCAGTTCGGCGAAAAATGTAATTGCCCGACTGTACTGCTTTGCAGTGGATAACATAAATTATCTTGCACTATAAGCATACCCAATATTGATGTTACTTAAAACCTCATATTTGTTCCATCACAGTTAAGTTTTATTTGCACTGGGTAATCGCTTTGAAGTCTTACTCTATTTTAAGCCACATTCGCATCTCATCTTGAAGATTTCACGTCTCAAATACAATTATTATAATTTTACTCATATATATACTTCTTGATATGCATATTTCAAATAGCTGGCTTCGGATGAGCAACTCATATAATATTTCTAGAGTTCATCAACAGTCTCCAAAGAGTCATTCAACGACTTGTAAATCACCTCGAAATCAATAGTTCGCTTGTTAGGGTCAGCCATTATCTACTATTTAAAGTTTACTTATCGCCGGATTTGATGGGTGAAAGCTGCAAGCTCGATCGTATGGCAAGCAACATGCCCAAGAGTACGTACTTGAGAAGCCACCATCCCCACAGCTACTCAAGAGAACTGCACGGTCAGCACCCAATATATGATGTTAAACACCACAAATGACAGTGGGAAGCCTATGCGAGACCACCTGTCCACTTGGGACTGCATTGCTTCGATCTCTTTTTCTGAGTAGGCACGGTACTGCACAAACTTCGTTTCCGCTTGTCTTCTGCCATAAAAGCTAAACCTGGTTCTTCTCCTTGTCTTGGCATGTCCGTTCGCCTCCACGTTTCCGTCCATGACGCGCACAAGGTCTTTCTTTTCAGGATCCTTAGGCGGGTTAAAAGAGGACACTTATTAAACGCTACGTCAATCTATACAGAACTTATAGACCTCGGCAATTGTAAGCTATTCTCTACCCAAATGATTTTGAACGCGCTACATCACAGTTTGGGGAAAAGCTATTTTTAGCCATCATATCTTGCCACACTAGGGGGGGGAAAGGGGCTGAAGCAACTTCCAAAAACAAAACAAAGCTACTGAAAAACAAAACAAAGCAAAAAAGGGGAGCCACGGGGAAAAATCAAGCAAGTGGTTTCTACTATCGAGGTCCTGTGTCTTCCATTAAACAAAAGCCGTATTGCCTACCCCCCTCGAAAAAATTTCATGCCCTAGAGAAAATACCAACCTTTCCTCCCTCAAAAAAAACAATGGTCCGTCCCTCAGATAGTCCAAGATAGCTCAGATAGCTCTTAATTTTTAATTTGCCTAACCCTCAAGGTCCGATGGGAGTAGGAAAAGCAGTGGTTTGACGAGCTCTTGATTCAAAGAAAGAGGTAGATTTTAATCAAGAATAATAAAAGTACATATAAAACTACACTTAAATGGAGAACAATGCGGAATGCAGCACCTTTCCGTCGTCTGACTCTGTTTGCACCACAGGAATCTCCAGACCTCTCTTGACTCTCCTGTTTACCTCAAATGAAACACAAGCGTATTCCACCAGAGAGGCAAACACGTACAGAAAACACAGAATCAGAAACCACTCAATGGATTTCACGTAAGACACCTTGGGAAGTGACGCCCGAGCGCTGTTGGTTAGTGTTGTCATGGTGAGGACTGTTGTGATCCCGAGGGCTATGCGGGCTGAAATTGAAGAAGACAACAAACATAAGATAGAATAGGCTACCTTCGATGTGTTAAAGGTCAACTTGATCGAGAGGCCCAGAAGACGCAAACAAGAGAAATGAATAAACTAGTCGGCGGATGGTTTTCTCGAAAGTGAGTCAAAGATTTAGGAGGCTGCATCCCAATCTATGGTCCATGGCCTCATGCTCTCCTATAAAGAAAGGTTGGGCTATCCACGTGAGCAAACTTTGCGTCACAGGGTTAGCTATGTCTGGGCTCTCCTTGGATTTCGTAGACAGGAATGATCCAAAACAACAACTTGAAAGGAATTCGCCGTGAAGATAAGGCCTGTGTAGGGGTTAACCCTCCCACACTTCATCCTATCTTGTATTCTATCCTTTAAACATGACAACACAGACGAACAACCCATAAGGTTAGTAAAAGCAACTGAAGCCACTGGTCGAGGATCTTCGACTTGTCCTCTGTGGTAAAAGAAGAGAGCGCTATAGAAAATCATTGCTAGTGGGTATTAGCACAGAGTCATATGTAAAAATCCTAGCTTTGGCCTTCTCGAGTCTCTTCAACTTATACTTAGATTACCCAGAAGTCGAATATGTAAGAAACAAAATGAGTCATGCACTGTCAAAATGGTGTTTGGAATACCAGGCTTCCGTGTATGTTGTTCTCCCTGAAGAGTTACACTGACCTGGTGTGGAATTATGACTGATCCAGAATGCAATCCAACTGAGCATGACAATCAAGTAAGCTGGAATGTAGGTCTGGATCAAGAAGAATCCGATGCTCCGCTCAAACTGGAACCAGACTATTAACCGCGAGTATGCTCCTGAAACCGAGAAAAGAACCAAGAGGCATATTAACTCCTTTTTCCCGTTTCTGGCAGGGTAATGTATAGGTGATTTGGGAGGTTTATGCGGGTTCTTTTTCTTCTTTTGCGATTTGATAAAGGCATGTTGAACACAAACGGCGTCACAAGCACATGTTGAACACAAACGGCGTCAAAGTGATGCAGGGGATCGCATCTCTTTTTAATTTGATTTGCAGCAGATGGAACATGGATTGTCTCCGGACTCACGGTATTTTTACCATGTACAAAATCACCTTTCAATTGGAGGAAACCTTAAAATAATAGTTTGCTAAGATAGAAAACCACCAAAGAGGTAATGATCAACCGTAAAGGAACAAGGATGGTTGAGAATGGAGAAGATTCCAATGGAATGCAAACGAGTTCAGGCTAAATGTTTCAGGAAATACTGCCTAACCAGGCGAAAAATTCTCCGGCAATTCAAAATGAAGCATAAGTACTAGTCACTAACACACCCGCGCTCCGTTTAATTGATCCCTACCTTAGCTTACCTGAAGTAAAATTGGAGAAGTTTGCTTCCGTCCAGTAGTCTGTGAGAATAAACTGGGGAATCTCTAGATCTTCTGAAACAAGCACTTCCTTGTTTCCTTTATCTCTCTTCCATTCAAAAAGCAACTCGGTGTCTTCGTAACTAACTACAAATAAGAAAGCACTAAAAGATCTCAGGGCTAGAAATAGGTATGAATATCAGAAATTAAACAAGATAATATCAAAATCTCTTGTTTAAAAGCATTCTTAGTCCACTTGCGGGGTCGTCTTAAAACGGTATGTGAATGAAAATCCGCGACAGAAGAGTAAAACTTGACATTTGATACCTCTGATAAGTTTCTACGTGTCATTGAATTCAATAAAGACAAGCAAAAAAACAAACAAAAAAACACACAAAGAAACGACGTTGAGCTTGATACGAAAGGGGTTGTATGCGAGTAAAGAAAACATTTCGTGGCCTGTTAGCAACATGAAATGAAGTAAAATGCTCGGTTTTCCGATGCAACTACAAAAACAAATCACAGACTCGTCCCGTTATGATTTTGTAAAAGTCCGTCATTACAAGAGAAATTTCTCTTCCCTAGTACGGTTCATCATTATATTTGTTCTTTTTAAAGAAATGTCCAACATTCATAGCTATATTTTGGGCTGTAGTGGTATTTCACGTAAAATCATAAGCAGCCGGTTCTGAACTACTACATTACGAAGGATCAAGTTTTTTCATTCTATGATTATTAGAAGAAATCGTGAGCTATCTCATAATATGGCTGCAACTCACAGCTTTCAAACGCCAGTCTACAAACTTGTTTATCCAGTGGATAGTTATGCAGGCGCATCGGGCAAGATGCTGTCATCGACAATCTGAAATGGAAGCAAGAATGTCAGACTTGCAGCTTCCTGTCAATGAAGCCTTTCTCAAAGCTAAACGTCATTGCATTAGTGTGGCTTTTTATCAACTTTGAAATGAAAAATCGTTAGGTGTACAGCAGCAGGGCCTATGCCAGAGGACAAGATCTAAGTCAGCTGAATTTCCCAGGGGTACTCCGGACTTTGGCCATTTTGGTCTCGAATAGGTATGGTTTATGCATGCAGTCTAGTCTTGAATTGGGTATGTTTATTTTTAGAAGAAGCTACTTTTTCATCAACAAAAGCCTTTCAGAACCTTTTACATCGGTCCTGAACCGGGAAATTAATTATATTGATTTAAGGATCAGGTTTTACTGAATAGGGTGTCGAATTTTTGGTCAGGTCATAAACAGGGTCGGAAAAATCAAAGATTTCGGTCTTACATAGGGCAAGGTTTTTGAGAAGGAGGCCGCACACCCCCATCCAATTTTTCTGGGAGTACCTCCAGGGGGTACCCGGGGTACTGAATTACAGTCATTGACGATTTAGGGGTAACATACCTCATGCTGTGGAACACTCTTCCATCGGGCCAGAGTCTCACCACTTCGTTTTCTTTGGTGAGATCATGCTTTATTCCAGACTTCTCATTTACAAAATAGATGTCAGGAATCCACATATGTTGAACCATCTTAGCATTCAGAGCAAGCCTCTTTTTGTATCCCGTATTGATGTAAGCCAGACGCTCGTCTTGCCAGTACATGCGCAGAAACAAACTGGTGCGAAATTCCTGTTATAGTACAAAAGTGAAATAAGCGCAAAGCACGTGAAACAACAACAACAACAAAAATGTAGAGGTCATCATAGGAGAAGTGAAATTATTGATTGCTCACTGTCTTGGCACGACCATATCGATTATATAAGTAATAAAATTAGCAAAAGTGTAAATGTTATTGCAAAACTATATCCCTATTTAACTTATGGTTGCGTACTATGGGGTAATAATTACGAGGCTCCATTGTCACAATTGGTGAGATTACAAAACAAAGCTATTAGAATAATCAACAATGTGTCACCTCGAGATCATATTACTCCCCATTATGTAAACCTTGGTCTTATTAAGCTTCCTGACATTGTTAAACTATATACCTGCTAGCTATTATATGACCACTTAATTGATGAAAAACCGTCTAATTACACCTTATCTCTGGTATCTGTGCAACATAACTACGTTACTCGAAGTGCATCCCTACAACACTTAAATCCCGGTTTCTCCAGAATAAATATAAGGAAATTTTGCCGCACTGTTATTGGATGTTACTATTGGAATGACCTTCCTTTATCTATACGTAACTTAGCGACTAGAAAACGTTTTAAAAAAGCACTCTTCCAGTATTATTTTGCTCAGTATTAATTAATTCATACCTCTTCCTCTCCTATGTTAAGTTAACTTTTTTACCCTAATTATTATTGTAAATTGAACAAGGGCATCTAATTAGCTTGCTATATTTTTGCCCTTTTCCATTTCTCCTCTTACTTGTCTACTTTATATTTATCTTTGTAATTTTAGATTGGAATAAATAAATAAAATGAAAAAAAAAAAAATGAAAATGAAGTGAAATTGAAGTAATAGCTGTTATTAGTACAGTTATCAGCGGCTTGACATAAAAACGATGCTAAAGGGTCAATTCTGCTAATTATTGATCCATTCGCCTCGTCTGTTTGCCTTTTTATACAAAGGAAAATTTGACCGAAGATTCAACTGTATTGACTTGTCTTTATATCTATAAAATTTGACAGAAAACTGTTTCACAAAGAAGACAGGATTTTAAGTGAGGATACGACGATGGGATGGAGGGTAAATATACAAGAATAAACAACGAGCCAGGTTGTTTTTGGATTCCATTAAAAGAGTGGCTTGCAAACGGTCGGAAAATTCTGCATGGTTTCTTACAAGTCCTGGGAAGGACACCACAGAGGAGTGACCGTTTGCTAAATTGTTTACGCCACAAAACATAGAACGGCAACAATCTAACCTGCCATTCTCCTCATAAACTTTGACAGACTATCATATACGAGATCTTAAAGTTAAACTCAGACTTTTTATATAATGCTCCTATTGGCTTACCATATTCGCTTCGCTGATGTAGCCAATGTCTAAAATGAACATATCCGTCTTTACAGTTATAGGTTCTCCTAAAATACATATTAAAATTGACAAATAAAGATCAAGACTCTATATTCTAGTTCCTAATCCACTTCCTATACCATGAGGACCGGAGGGGGTGTGGAGAATCTCCTCTCTGACTTTGACCTTCTGTGATTCCAGTTTTAACAGGTATTGAAGGAGCTCAGTCATGGCATTTTGAGGCTTTTTGGCCCCGTACAAAATCGCCTTAAAATTGAAGGAAACCTGGAAATAGTAGTTTACTAAGATAGAAAAATACGAACGAGATGATAATAAACCATAAAGGAACAAGAATGGAGAAGATTAGCACGGATCACAAACAGATGAAATTGAAAAAACTTTAGGCTAAACTTTTCAGGTTGCGGAAACCTTGATGTAGCTCATTTAAAGTGGCAATGACGAAAAACAAAATGTAATCTTACTGGAAACAATCACGTGTGTCAAGTTCTTGCTTACGCGATTAACGGATATTTCATATTAAGTGATATTTTGTGTTGAAGTGACATACGTCCTATTTTGGGTCTTAGCCTGCTGTCCGACTTGTTCTGGATCTGGTTCAATATTCTTCCCAGCAAAATTTCTCTGTCATTATCAGTGGCGTTCCTTGTATTGTTCGCGCTATTTTCTGGACTGTAAAAGAATGAATATTGATTAATATCCTTGGCACTACACAAAACGATGTTGAAACTGAGGTTGAACTGATTAGATGGACAAATAGTCCGTAGCATTTGCTGCTGTAATCAGATTTTCAGCCGTGTTACCAGCTTAAAAGGGTGATTCTCTTTACTATTGCAGAAGACTTCTCTGAATGCCGCTTTTGAGAATTTGGCACCTTATCATGATCCTGATAGGAACGTTTCAAAAAGTAGGCTTGATTGTCTGCTCAACCATACATTAATAATGCATACAAGGATGAGTTAAGTTTTAACTACTTTTGGGTTTACTTCATTTTTTTCCATTTCACTTAACGATTTTTTTTTTTTATGGAGAGCCCGTTGACTATCCCAAACCTGAAACACAAGAATATATCGATAAGTGATAAAAATGTATATTTACGTTGGGGCGTGGCTGGTAGGTGCGGTGTCGTTCGTAAACGTCTTATTTCGGCCTTCTTCTCCAGCTCCTCCAAAACCAGCAGCGACTAAACACAGAACCAAGATGCAAACCAGAAGCTGCAGATTTCCACACATTTGCCTTTAAACCTCGCGGACTCCTAGAGAGACAAAACATACGACAACGGGGTGTCTTGAGTTAATACTGTGAGGCAGCTTGGCCCTTGAGGATCCTCAATAAACGGTTTAGTTTTCCCCTGGTTTTCTCTTAGTTTAGGATGCAATGGCGCAAGCTATACGCGCGAAGACAAACGTACATGTACGCACAAAATACGTTGGTTTTAACATATGGATGAACCGACAAGGTACAGCTGACTTAGTCCCTTTTCGGGTGCTTATGCGTTTGTCTCCATCGTTGAAGACAACGTAATAAGAAGTTGTTTCATTTTGGCCTTGTACTCATACTTATGTCGGTGCTGCCCTGATAGCTTGTTCTTGTGTTTCTACTCAATTCAAACCAGAGACAAACAGCAGATGTTTTTCCATGTAGCCACTGCTTCGTCTGAACATCAACTGAATGTAACGAAGTTAAGATCTAGAACCATTCGAATTACAGGGTACTGGATTCATCCAGGAGCTATCTAGTGTGCAATCAGTATTACGTTCGAGTTAATCGAGGTGGAAACAGGAAACCGATAATTCTAGTCGTATAAAATTTTAAAGAGGCTAAACTTTTTTGGACATTATTTAATTGATTTCGAAAGCTCGTATATTTAACTTTTTACCAATATTTAACGATTCATTAAAAATTTATCGTTTTTACTTAAAAACATACAAAAATATCTTGATTAGTTTGATAGCGTTTGAAATTCTTAACTGAGCGATAAAAAAAAAAATCATCTCAAACGTTTTGGTACTCTTTATTCTCAGGGTCCGGTCTTACTTTTTTGTGTTAAAATTAAAATATATCTACAATAGATATATTATCAATATCTAACTTATCACTCATTGACAACTGTATTACACTTCTTCGATCATATTCTGTATAAAAGGACTTTCAAGGTAACTTTGGCTGTAGCTACAAACAATGGTAATAAAAGAGGTAAACTAGCTTGGTCTTAATTTTTTTTTATTTCTGTGTTATATATGTACTTGTGTGCATTGCAAGCTGTGCGTGGTAACACGAGATTTGCCCAAGCTTCCTATCCGATAACTTATGCTAACCACAGGAATATTGAATTGTTTGCTTAGAAAAGTTTATCGAACCAGATCGAAACTTTTGTAGTAAATTAGCCGCAAGCATAATCAACGAAATGAGAAATTTATGTTTGCTTGACCAAAGAAATAAATAAAAACCTATTTCAAACTGATTTTTGTTAAAGGAAGTGACCTAGTTTTTGGGTCGAAAACGTTGCATCTTCACTAATACACTACCTGTCGTTTACAAATTGATTATAAACTCCACAACACCGCTCTTGTATTAATTGCGTTAGCCGGGCTGTGAAACTAAAAAAAAAATTTTTTTTTCCCAAAGAAGACAACTTAAATTGACCGAAGATCAGACTTGGCGATATATTGTAAAAACGTGTCTGAAACTAAACGTGTTGGTGCGTGTTTGTAAACATAGTATAGGAGGGAGCATCCATGCAATTTTTCGTTCTGGAAGTCAAAAAGAATAGTTCTCGTTTATACTTACTGTGCCGATCACAAAGAAAGCGCTGCAGAAGATTATAGCAAGAATTCTAAAGGAATGTGCCACATTCAATGCCGCTAGCGACGGGGAAAAAAGAAACTGCGAAACTGGGCCCACAGGCGATAGCTTGAATTGCAAATCATAAAATTGCTTTTATTTTGTCTTGTTTCGCCTGCTATCCTTGTCTGACCCAGATAAATCCCCTGCTGAGAGATCCCTCCGAGCGAGATCGTTTCTCTTTGTAAAACGGGCAGCTTTGAAGTATACCTTAGAAGAAGGGATCTTAAAAAAATTACGCGCGTCCTGTTTGTTTTCCGTGTTTACATTAAACTATCTTTGACGCCGCCATCCTGTTTCGATAGACACTGCTGAGGTTTTAAAAAGGGGACTTAAGTTATTTGCATGTTTACAGGTGAAATGGGGTAAACTATTTATCACTTTATTGGAGAAATAGCAAATCATCTTCTACGTAAGATTTTAGCACTTTGTTTGTAATTGAAAAACTGCAACTTACTTGCAAATTGTCGATTTTTAGTTTGAAAAGTTGATGACACTTTTCACTGAGCGCGTAAATTCGTCTCTGACACTTGAAACCATTATGACAATTTATGATCATTACTTATTCATGACAAGCACAGAAAGCTTAGCTTGAGGGATTTTCAAAGATAAGATTGAATGTGGTCGTAAATATATATGAATCCCACATTTCCATAGGATAAATAAAACTTTTTTCTTTAGTTAGAAGTGACTCCATAAACATTCAAACGTGCAGTGAGGCGTAGAATTGCCTCTCAAATCGTATCCTTTTAATTCCAACTGAATTATATTTATATTCTGCATATGAATATAAATCTGTAAAAATATAAGATGCCACGACTTAGACCATTTAATTAGGATGCAATTTCGATTATCTTTTTGTCAAAGTGTTTTCATCCATTTCGCCGATAATAAGTAGCTTTCACCAATAAGTGTAAACAGTCTTGTGCATTCTAAAGGGAAATGTACTTTTGAATTTCAGTAAATCATGTCAACAACGTAGATATCAAATCAACAGGAACCTCTAGGGAACCGGTCGAAATAACATTAGTTCCAGAAGGATTATAAGAAAAGAACACAGGCTTACCTCACTAATTTCCTTTTGCATAGAGCCGCATTTTTCGTTTTTTGGCAGTAATTACAAATTCATTCACGTATCAGAGAATTTTATTATGTAGCAACCTGGGTAAGCGTCAGTTTGTATAGTCGGTTTTCGCTGATACAAAACACAACATAGAGGCTAAAAAACTGAGTAAGAAGCTGCGGTGATGAAACAGTGTAACTAGAAGAAAACAATTGCACAAAAACAAAATAGAATCGGTAACGCCAACAGCATACTTACCTTTGATCTTAAGGTCGAATAATTCGAAATCGTTTTGAGTTATAGCGGGCGCTTGTGCCCGTTACAGTTCAGTGGCCGTTGAAAGCCTGCTCTTGCAATTGAATATGTCAAGTAAACTTGAAACACATGCAATATTTAAAATGGAAGTTTGTTGTAGGTACAGCTCAGTGTAATGAAAATCTCTCTCCGTGATACGTTCAGCGACGTGGTCAATATCTCATATTTTCGATTCCCTTTCGGTGCCCTTAACCTGATTGTTAACTAATGAGAAAAACAATTCATTTTTATACTTCTTTCCGAAAGCAGCAAATCATTTTAAAGGATTTGCTTGGGTTCCCACAAATCCTATTAACTGCTTTTAAAACTTGTGGGTGTCCAACCAATGATACACACAAAAATCCTTAAGGTTAAAATGCTCCTGATGGTCTGTGCCCAGTTCAAAAAGATAACTCTCCCTACTACTGCCATATATTTCTTTTGACGATGGATGTGAGAATTTGGTTGTTCGACAAGACAAAGTCAACAAGTTGATCATTTTCTTTATTCTAGTCTGTTGTGTGCTTGACAATGTACTTGAAATCGTAAAGAGAAACTGGATTTTGATCAATCTAAGATAAAATATTAATATTTTTTTCCTCTTTAACTGATATTGTTGAGTTTTTTTTGATATTTACTCCGTCTAAATAATTTATAAGAAGGAGGGAGATGAAAGATGACTTGCTTTTGAGGTTGGTAAAGTGTATGACCGAATTGAATAAATTACTTGACCTGGCTAACAGATCAGGCCAATGGGGGAAAATATACATACGACAGGCATCTTTTTTGAACTGTTCAAAACCAAAGAATCAGGAAGCTGTAACCTAAACGAACTACTTTCAGATTTAATAAAAGATGTTTCTTACCTCTGTAAGGTTTTTTTTTTAAAATTCCCCAGGGTTAAGTGAAAACAAAGGGATTCAATTCAGACGCCGGACCAGAAACTGATAACTATTGTGTGCAAAAATAATAATCTGATATATCAAGAATCTTTAATAAATTATTATACTACAAGGCGTCAACTGATCGCGCTGATATATAGGCGTGTCTGATGAAGCAAACAGTAGATTTTTTTTTGATATACCTCTCTATACTATAATTTCGAAGCAAAAATGTAATCATTTATTAATCTATTTTCATTTTTCTTCATTTGACCAAAGGACTTTCCATATATTTTATCGATTTTGCCCGAGGGTAAAATACTAACAAGTTGGAATAATTACCCAGCGTTTTCTGCAGTAGGATTCCATAAACATGATGTAAATGCTGGGAATATTTACAATAAATAAGGATATCGATAAACCGTAATTCAATCTTTGTTATCTCTCATGCGTATCGGCACGGGCAGACAATACCAACTCAAATCAATGTTACACTTCACAGAGAGGTGGCGTTGGCAGAGTTTGATAGTAAGGATAGAAAAATAAAGTTAAAATACTGGAAGTATACTTGAGCAGTTAGCATCTGCAGACCGTTTTCTTTGACCCTCAGTTGGATCTGTTCGATCATATCGACGGACCCAACAATTGATAATCTGTTTTAACATGTGCAATATTTATACCTAATCGTACCTTCGGTGGCATATCAGGCAAGTTTGGTCGAGCCATGGTTCGTATTTCGATTAGGTATTTACCGTACCCAAATTCGGCCAAGTGAGCAGGTCAGTGACTTGATATCGCTGGATATGAGGAGAGTAGACACTTTTGATTGGCTAATTGTGAATTTGGGTACGGTAAGGTGCAGAATAGTCCTTAGACCTGCGCGGCGTTTGATGTTGGCCTTTTAATTTTGATAGGAAAGAAAGATAATCAAATAATCATAATCATAATCATAATCATAATTATAATCATAATAACAAAAAAGAGCCATGCAACGGGCAGCTGGTCTGTCGGTGAAGCTGTTATGAATTTCTAAGGAGTGGATCATTTGGCTTTTGAGGGGGGTGGGTCGGGTGGGTGATTTGGCACTGACACAATAACCCTTTCATGCACCAAGAATTTTTTCTCGGTCGGGACGTGTCAATGCATGATATTAGGCTTTTCTCCTTGTAACATGCTTTTTTTCGGCTCACTAAACGTGCGTGAATTTTTTTCCGCTAGTGGTGGTGTGCATTTTTGGCACAAGTCAACTCGCAGGATATTAATCACCCACCCTCCCCCTCAAAGTTCAAATGAACCACCCGTAAGGTAAGTAGCTTTACGATGTTTTTTACATTAAAAAAAACTGACCCTCACTCTAGGTATACACTCAGATTTGAAGTTCACGAAATTTGATAAAGTTTTAAACGGACGAAAACGTCTCGAGAGAACTTAAGGATGTTTAAGTTCAAGTTTTTTGGCATATAAAGTTCTTTATATGCCAACGTTTCGCGAAGGTTAAGTCAACTTTACACACATAGCACAAATGTTTTCTTTAAAGATTTTTAACGACATTTAAGTTATAGTGTAGGGTTGGATAACGAACTTTAAGGAAATTTCAATTTCTATTTTTGTGCTGCGAGTGTTTCGACAACTTCGAGTTTCCCCTAAA